AAGGATCATTTTATGATTTTTATTTTTTCGCCCAGAAAAAAATAATTATTATTGAGTTTTATTTTTCCTAAGAATAATGATTATTTATAAAATTGAAAAGCCCATACAGACGTAACCTGCTGAAATTTTAACTTGGAAATTTCGGGACTTATTCCTTTTATTAGGGTGTCGCTACCTCTGAAAATAATGCGTCGGAAATCAGGCTGCTATAGCTTTTAAGTTTTTTGGATGATCTTCATTCTTAAGTGAAAAACTAAAACTAAATAATAATTATTATTTTAGAGCGAAAAAATAAAACTCAAATATTAATTATTATTTTTAATCTTTATTGGTTAAACTCGAAAAATAAAAATCATTGTAAACTACAGTAGGACGAACAAACACACATACGCGAGTATAGATAAAAATGTTTGACGACATTACAATAGCCTCCTGTGGTGTTGTACATAACTATGTAGATACATGATACATGCAACTCTGCAGGCTGTGCATCGCGGACATATTTTGTATCCCAAAAATGGAGTGGTCAGTTATCTATTTATTGCAATAAATAGAAATTTTTTAAACATTTTATCGCACAACCAGATTAATATGTGTTTCAGGTTGCAATAATATCCCTGAAGACTAGGTATTTTTTTGATAGAAGAGCATCAACATAAAAATATAAAAAATCAAAAACAAATTTATTTAAGTTTGAAGTAATGTTTTTGAAACCACTTCAATGTTTATTTTTTTTTAAGTCACAATGTAATGGAGGTTAAGCCTTTTTTGATAAAAGAGGATCAGCATAAAAAAATAAAAGTAAAATATTTTTTAACAAAAAATAAAAATTAAAAATATATTAAAACTACAAGAAAAAACATTAAAAATATAAACATACATAGCATACAAGTGTAAATAGAACATACAATGAATTTGCATTTGCTAATTTAAGTCAACTGCTCCATGCAAATTTTAATTTTAGTGACGAATTAATTTCAACAGGTATCACAATATTCATTATTTTTCATTACATTGTAACCACATATGTAGTTAAGAATAGAAATGTAATTTCAGCTGAAAATGTGATTTTTTTTACCAAAAAAGCAAAACCAAAAATGCCACATAAATACTCTTTCCCTGACTTTGCACGATATATCGTTCAAATTCCAATAACCGTAGACCACGCCCAAACAATAAAATTTTATTTTATTTTATTATTAATTTATACCAAATAGTAGTTGTGAAAAATGGAGTTTTGATTTTTTTGGATGGCTGGTTTAGCAAATGGTAACAAATGGCAGCCAAAAGCAGAGTGTCCTGTTAGTGTATAAATACACTGAAAAAGCTCACTACTTTTCGGTCGTCGAGCGGAATTTTCTCTGGCCCTTGTTTCGTTGGATGCGACAGATTTTGGCGACGTCTATTAAGAAACACATATGAGATTCTATATTCTGCGCTGGGAAGTCTAATGTAGTTCATTGTCTGTTTATGATCAGAATATAAGCAGTACTATAGGATACTACTATTCCGTTTCTATGATTGCATAATTCGTTTAACTCGAGCCGTTTACCCGCTCATCTGGCGACCATAGAGTATTATGGGTTCAATGATGTCCGAAGAGTTGCAATGTGAGAGGCTTGTTCGAGTATCCATGTTCAATTGAAAATTTTTTTATGAACAGCTTTGGAGGGATTTTATAAAATCTATTAAAACTTCACCTGCATACCCCTCATGTCAGCACCTCGGACTCGCGCTGTACTTACCTAGACGGAAACTAAAAACTCTTATCGAAAGCAATTAATAAAATAATTATAAATTAATTTGGAATTTTAAAGAAACTCGTCATGCTTCGGTCTGATGAGAGTCACAATTTATTAACAAAGCTTTTGAGCACACACGCAGGTTTCTGCCAAATTATGTATATGAATACATGTAGATACATACTTATGTACAATGTTATCTATATTGTTAGAACATTGTGTCAACTTGTCAGACACACTCAGTTTAATTGCAAATAGTATCGCAGGTTTGTAATTATCAGCAAGAACATCAATCGAGATGTCGCAGACTCACAGTCAAGCGTCTAGGCTCCGCAACACATACTAACAGTCCAAAAGCGTTTGTTGCGTGGGCCATTACGGAGATAAGTCAGTGTATAGATTTCGCCAAGTGTTCAGTTTTATTCTTTACCTCTTCGAGATGGTGAAAATGAGGCGACGCCAAGTGAAACGCCTGGTGCGTAGGC